CTCAGAAATAAAAACTCTAGTACTGTCTGAAGTGTGGACATGTAGATAATAGAATTGAGAGTGCAGAACTAAACCCTCATATGATGAATTGATTTTTCAGCAGTGGTGCCAAAATAATTCCGTGTGAGAAGGGACAGTCTTTTCACCACATGATATTTGAACAAATAGATATTTTCATGCCAAAGAATGAAGTTATATTGTTTGTATTCAAAATAGCTGAAGATGGATCATGGAACTAAATAGAAGACTAAAGCTGTAAAAATTTTAGAAAAAAACATAGAAATTTATCTTTGTGATTTTGGGGTAGAGAATGGTTTTATAAAGGCAACCCCAAAAGCACAAGTAACAACAGGTAGAAAACATAAGTAATTATTTATCATAATTAAAAGCTTTTGTGATACAAATGATATCGTAAAGAAACTATAAAGGCAACCTATAGAATGTGAGAAATACTTTCAAATTGTATATCTCATAAGAAATTTATATCCATAATATATAAAACTTTTATAATTCAATACTAAAAGAAGAGCCGTTAAAATTCTGTGTCATAATTTAGTTACTTTCCTGTTGATGAAACCAGATAACCAACACTCATAATTTAAAGGAGGAGAGGTTTAATTTGACTCAGTATCACAGGGTTCATTCCAAGGTGGTTGGCTGGCTTCAAGGTGGACACATCATACCCATAGAGCATGGTGGAGCAAAGCTGTGTACCTTGTGATGACCTGTAAGCAGCACACAGGAAGAAGACCAGGGAGAGATAGATACACCCTGCCGAGGTACACCCTAGTGACCCATGTCCTGACTCCCTGTGCAATGGATTAATCCAATCTAACTATAACTCCCCATGATCCAGTCACCTCTCCAGGAGTCTCAATCCAGTCAAATTAATAATAACTGGCACACAGAGAATCTGAATACACATTTATACAAAGAAGATATACTGATTACCAATGAACACATAAAAGGATGCTCACCATCATTAGCCATTTGAGATATGCAAATAAAACCACAGTGAGATACTGTTTCATGCTCTCTAGAATTGCTAAAGTGAAAAGCCAGCAAATATTATGAGGACTTGGAGAAACTTGAATCATAATACTTTTCTGATGGGAATATAAAAGGAAAAACAGCTTGACCCTTCTTGAAAAACTAAACCTAGAACTACCAAATTACCTATACTCCTGCTTCTAAGAATGTACTCACCAGAAACAATTCATTTACAGTAACTAGCAAATGAATTTCAATAGCGGAAATATTTATTATAATCAAAAGGTAGAAACAAGGCAAATCTCCCATCAGTTGGTGAATGGGTAAATAAAGTGGGATCTATCCATACAGTGGAATATTCTTTGGTCCTAAAAATGAATGAAGTACTGACATATCCTACAATTTCCCTGAACCTTGCAAACATTACGCCAAGAAGACAGTCACAAAAGAAAACAAAGTGTGTGGTTCTATTTATATTAATCCAGAATAGATGAGTCTATAGTACAGAACGTGGATTAACAATGTGGTATGAGTGGAAACTAAGCAGTGAATATTAATTTTTATGAAAATATAAAATTGGGGATGGTTGCACAACTCTGTCAATAGAGTAAAAACATCAAATTATACATTTTAGGTAAGTGGTGCAGTGTGTGAATTGTATCTCAGTAAATAAAGAAATTAATTCGTGCTTATTGTTGAATAGCAGGAAAGTGCCAAAAATCATCAAAAGGATCAAATAATCTAGTGTTCTCTTGTCTACCCAGAGCTAATACTTTCTGTATTTTCTTTCTTGCTGATTGTATACAAAGAAATCCCTTTTGGAGGGAAGCTTTATCAGTTCACAGTTACTTGTACAAAACTTGATTTCCTGTTTTTATTCATTAAATTGAGAAACTTTGGAACTTCTGACTTAATCCTTGCTTATTTAACCATTCTCCTATTGCTGGATATCGCGATGCTTTGAGTTTATATGTAGTGTTATATTTTAGTTCATTTTTCATAATTATCATTTGTCTTTAAGAGTAATTTATATGCATTTTGGATATTTCTTTAGGACAGTATCTTCGAAGCTCTATAGTTTCCTCAGGCTGCCATAAGAAATTACTACAAACTGAATGCTTGAGAGCAGCAGAAATTTGGTCTCTGACCATCTTTAGAGCTAGAAGTCTGAAATCAGGGCATTCACATGGCTGCATCTGTCTGGAGACTGAGGAAGAGGCCATTCCATGCCTCTGTCCTCGCTTCTCCTTCCTGGTAACCATCCTTCCTGCTGTCTGGCTTATCCATGTCTCCCTCCTCTCTGCTTCTGCCTACATGTGCCTCTTCTCACCTTCTCTCCTTTGGAAAGGACGCTTGCCATTGGATTCAGGGCCCGCCTTAATCCAGGAAGATTCCATCTTGAGATTCTCCATTTAATTACATTTCCAAATAGTTTTTTCAATTGAAGTCACAGGCACAAAGTTTGCAGTGGACCTATCCTTTTGGAGGCCACCTTGCAACCCACAAGAGGAGCAACAGCGTGGTGGGGGGGCAGGTTGTTGTGGGGGTCATGTGGCCCGTGTGCAGTTAAAATGGGGCCTTAATGTGCGCAGAAAATTAGAAACCAGTAATACGAAGACTGCCTAAAAGTTGTCCTGCTTTTTGCTCTTACCATGCTCAGGCAATTAATTCTAAGTGATGTTAATGGTAAAATATTGCTCCTTCTTGGGGTCGCTCTTCCCTCTGCCCTGCTGCCAAGGTGTCTGTGCTTGGAAGCAGGATTCTTGGGTTTTTAATGTGAAGTTTTCCTATGCTCGTGATAGAAGTTTTTCAACTTGATGTCTGGGCTGCAGAAATACATATTCCCACCAGCTTTATAACGTATAATAAAAACATATAAGTAACTCTCCCAGTTTTATAAGTAGAATTTGTCTTAATTTTTGCTTTTCCTAGAGTTGACCATGTTGAGTCTTCCATTGCTTATTTATAATATAGTTTTACAAATTTTAAAAATCTGTAAATACTTCTATTTAGGGTATGCTTTTCTTTATTGGTTTGTAGTAACTGTGTAACAAAAACATGAGGCTTTCATATTATTGCGTATATTTACCAGTTTCTTTTTATTTTTTAGGTAACAGATTATTTTCATTTTGTATCAACTTTTCTTTATAGTCTCCTTTACTGAATACCAGTGTTTGCTGGCTTTGCTCAAAAAAACAAAGCGACTACTCTATTTCATGAGAAGGGAGACAAAGTCAGCTGTTTCAAACAGTGAAAAGTTTCTGTGAAAAGAACAGTGGAGTTTTTCTGATGCAAGTGTAGGGAAGGTTTTCTTTTCCCATGTCACAGAGGAGATGTCACCTACAGAGCCATTGTCTGAGCACTGTGTGAAGAAAACTGAGCTCCATCAGGTTCCTGACCCTCACTTTGCACCCAAAAATCAGAAGCTCAGAGGTCTTGGATGAGTGTCTGCGATGAGGCAAAGATGCAGATCTTTGAACACTTACTTCAGTGCCTTTTTATGAGCCGATCTTGTGCTTTTTACCATTGTTAAATATTTTGGCTAAATTCCTGAAACAATAGTAACAATAAGAAGAAGAAGAAGAAGGATTCTCCGTCCTCTTCCTCTTCCCCGCCTCCTCCTCCTCCTTCCACTCCCTCTTTTCTCTTCCCCCTCCCCTTCTCTTTTTCCTTCTTCTTCTCCTCCTCCTTCTCTTTCTCCTCTTCTTTCTTCCCCCTCCCTCTCACCTCCTCCTCCTTCTATTTTGTATTTATTTATGTGTTTTCCTTGTTCCAAGAAAGAATTTTCTTATTATAATGCATATTAATTATGGAAAAATGAGGAAAATACATGTAAGTCCCTGAACAAGATAATTTAGGACACTTTGGGTCCCACCAGCCTCTAGGGCCTTTTAACATTTTCATGTACCCTTCATTACCACTCTTTTTGGTCCTTTTCTTGTGGCTGTTTATGCCCATATGTAATTCTACGATATTATATGTTTTCTTTATAGTACAAAATAGATTTGTTGCTATTTTAATGGCTTCATATTATTCTACCATGGATATATTCTACTTCATTTAATGATTTCCCTATTGTATATTTAGTTCATTTTTAATTTGTTGCTTTTATGTAATAATTACAAATATTGTGGGTAGCCTTGAAAATATTTAATTGTACAATTCTTATTTGTATATTGGGATAGTTTCAGTTAAGCCCAGTGTTTTCATGCGGACTTAGGATTTTATATCACTGGAAAGCATAATAGTTAAAATTGTATATTAGGAAACAGATTACATATATACACATATATATATATATATATATATATATTCTTATATATAATACACACACACACACACACATATATATATATATGAGAAGAGAGATTTTATATACACCTCTACTTATCCAACATCAAGCTTATTTTCAATGTGTATTTAATTTGACCCCCCCAAATAATATATTCAATCAGTGTGTGTGTCTATTCAGACAGAGCTCTCTCCCCCTTGTTGACTTAGCCCCTGCTAAGCACTGGTCCTGTGTCAGCCTTTTTTATAGAATATTTTCTCCTTATTTATTTTTTTTTAATGTCTGTTTGAAAGTACTTGAAAGTCTATTTCTAATAAAGAAGTATAAGATGAGACCTGAATGGATTAGGATACACACAGTTCCTTAACTGTGGAACCTGGGCTCTGGCTATGGTGACCAGCGCATCCCAGTTTGTCTTGTGCTGTCTGCCCTTCAGCACCCAAAGTCCTATATGCGGGAAACCCTCCTCACCAGCATTGCAGGACAGTTGCCCATTCTGATCCACACTCATCTTGAGATCTCATTTCCAGCAGCTCAGTTGTCTTTTTTTTTTCAATACTGTGGGTTGAACTCAGGTCCTTGTGCTTGAGAGGCAGGCGGTGGCACCACTGAGGTAAATCCCTGGCCCTAGCACATCAGTGTCTTCAAGACAGTGAAGTGACGCTCTTGGTTGTGGAAATGTTGAGCTCCATATAACGCGGGGTGTTTTATTTTCCAGGCCTCTTCACGTGCTTGTGTGCAACGCTGCGGCTTTTGGTATTCCCTGGAGCCTCACGAAGGACGGCCTGGAGACCACCTTCCAGGTGAACCACCTAGGCCATTTCTACCTGGTCCAGCTCCTGCAGGATGTTTTGTGTCACTCGGCCCCTGCCCGTGTCGTCGTGGTCTCCTCTGAGTCCCATAGGTGGGTCTGGATTGAAAGCTTTTCACCAATGAGTCATCTCCACCTCCCGCAGGGCCCTGTTGCTGGAAAGAACTCTGATTAGGCATACAGTACCCCGAGAAGCCTGAGTTGTGCAGCCTGCTTCCTTAATTTTTCTTGGTCTTTTTGTGCGTGTGATTGCGTGGGGGAGCTGTCTGTAGTAATGTGTACTGTTTTTACAACTATACTCAAGCTCCTCATTGATTTTGCTTAGAGATGGAATAATAATTGATTAAATCTGAATGGCATGACCTTTATTGATTTGTAATTCAACAACTTCAACATCTTACCAAGAAGAATGTGCAGTTATTCTAGCAGGAGAAACAGTGCAATTAAAGACTGTGAGATGAAATCCAATTGTTTTATAATGAGAAATTAGGGAATTCAATGCAGGCGTTAGCTGTGTAATTGTGGAAAGGGAAGTACTGTAGTTAGAACATATTAGAAATCTGGCCATGCCTCTTTTGGTTAAAATTTCAATTAAAGCATCAGATGGCACTTCTCTTCTATTACCATTAGGAGCATATTCAGTTGACTAAAAAGACATTTGAAAATTTCATCGTATTTTCAGCATATTTGTTTCTTGAGTTGGGTAAACAATGGTTTGTCTAAAGAGCAGCACTCAGAAAAGACAAAGGGCTTGCCTGGTGGGTGAGGCTGGTTTTAATACTTGTTTGGGAGATTTCCTTTCTCGGTTCCTTGGTGTGGGGGTAGGGAGAAGCTTTCTCCTTGTAGCAGAGTAGCTGGAAATAAAATAGTGTTGAACGTGCCTATTTTTCTGCCTTCTTCTTCATCTTAAGTCCTGAAATGTTTTAGTGACCCAGGATGAAGCTCATTTATTTTTTTTAATCATATTTCCATAAAATGTAACCCCTTAGACTTGGAAGAGAGAGACCAGCCGAGGGTTAGCTTGAACCCTTTATCGCTCCCAAACACAGGGGCTTATGGTATAAGTGACATACTACAGATAGATTTACTTTTGCCATTTTAAATTTATGATGGCTGAAATGAAAGGAAAATGCCAGTAATAATCCCCTTCCATGTGAAAAGACATGAATCATCTGCTAATTAGGTGGTAACAAAATCTGGACAGCCTTATCTTTGCAAATCACACCAGGTTTGTGAAAGCAAGTGGAGTGCCCTGTTAAGGATCCAGGGAGGCTACCATGGGGGCAGGCAGGAGAGAAGGCTCTGGAAATAAATCTGCCAGCCCCAATCGTTTGCCAGATGCGGAGGGCACCACGGGATATGTTTAAATGAGCTGGTATTTAATGGGAGATTATGTCGAATTGTCAGCTGCTCGCTTCCCTTTGTAAATCTGTACCTCAAATGCTATTTCATGTGATGTCTTTGTTCTCCCCTTAACCACTGTGTAATTCATGCCTACCTTGGAGATGGGAATCTTAATTTCATTTTGAAGATGAATTTGGAAGGCAGTGCCTTGGCCTCCCGAGTTAGATCCATTTGAGTTTCTAGACAAGGCCTTCAAGAAGTGCTCAGTCAGGCACAATTCCATCCGCTTTCCTGTTTCCCAGTTATCCTTCACACTTTATTTAGGGGTGCTTCTACAAAACGCTAATTCCTTCGAGCTGACTTGTTTATTACACTTGCACTGTGTGTCTTGGCCCCCGAGAGCGAGCTGTATATTGGGGCAGCCCAGAACTCAAGTACCCACAGTCCTAAACCAAGTTGTAAAATGCAAGTGTTGATATCTAATTACCTCCATAAACCCTGGCAGAATCTCTTCATTGGAGTCAAGACCCCCTGTTAAGGGAAAAATAAAGTTCTGTGTTTGCAGAAAATTTCATACTAGATTGCCCCTAGGCAAAATATTTATTAGCCTCCCTGTGTCTTCCCTGTACTTTAGTTACTTATCTGGAGTCTGAGTGAGTGAATTGAGTTTCTGCCTATCTAAAATACATCATATTGAAATGAGAACTTGGCTTCCTTGCTGTGCAAATTTTTCAGAGAACAATTAAAATAGAGCAAAAAGAACAGAGTGCTGGCTGAACAGCTCTGAATGGCTGCGGCTGTGTTGAGTGTCCAACTGCCACACACACACACAATTACACATGTAAGAATCATACATGCACAGTTGTATGCACACACATGAAATGTCATGCAGAGGTATTACTGTTCTTTAAATGCACTAACTTTTGTGTATGTAGAGTCCATCCTCATTATTGTAGTTTGGGAATTTAAGAAGTTCTTGATTCAAAGGAAAATGAAGACCAGAATGTGTGGAACTGTAAGACAGGCAGACTCCCCCAAAGCCAGTGCTAGAGTCCAGAGAGGAAAGAAGGCATTTTAGTGTACCAACAAGGCCCAAGGCTATTAAGACCCTGCTGCTTGGCTTTGTCAGTTTCTTACCTTTAAGCCTGTGAAGAGCTGTTTTTTGCCTCTTGAGCAGAAAGATGACCTGGTCTCCTGTCTGGAAGGCCTGCATCCGCTTTGGGGAACCTGCAGGATGCCCACCCTGAGTACTCTCCTGGAGGACTGTCCACACGACTTCAGCAGATCTCACGGTGGCTTTTGGCCCAGGTTCTACCTGTGTGCCCCAGTCATGTGCTACTTCTGTATCAGCCTTAAAAGCAAAAGCAGCGGTCTTATTCTAAACATCAGAATGCGCAGCACGCAGATACTATTGGAGAACCTAGATGATCTGAACCTAGTGGTAAATTTTGCCTTTCAAGTCTCAAAGCAAGACTTCTTGTAGTAAAGGAAATTTCTCTTTAGTTTGGAATTCCAATCTGACCTTGGAGGGGCAGAGTCTTTTGGGAACTCTAGGAAAAGTATCATAGCATCTGTGGATGCTTGGAAAGTGAATGCTTGATTTTCATGGAATCGTGTATTTCTACCCGCTTTGCATGGCTTCTTTCAATCTCTTCACCACCACCACCACCAAGAAAACCACCAACATTTAGCTGGAGAGTTAGGAGAACTTCCTGGGAGAAACAGTTCCTGGACTGGGTTTGCCTACATGACTGCTGCGAGGGCTTCTGTCTATAGTTAATGAAGGGAAGACACAGGCTGGGAGCAAAGCATGTTAAAGTCACTCCATATCTTTGAGGCATTGTCTGAATCCAGGATGTTCCTTTCCACCTGACAAGGTAGTTTCCAATAACTCTGTCTTTGACAGCTGTTCTGTATCACCTTATTACTTTGCTGAAGTAAAGTTGTGAAATAATATAAATTCCCGGTACAAACGCATTTTTAATTTAATATGATACCAGAACTGTAATACAAAGAAAATCTAAATTTGAAACAAGGGCTGGGGATTTCGCTCAGTGGTTCTGGTGCCTGCCTCGCAAGGGCAAGGATTGGAGTTTGATCCCTGGTACCAAAAAAAAAAAAAAAAAAAAAAAAAAAAAGTGAAACAGAACACATGCTCCCACATCAAAGTGTTTGGTTGGGCAGGACTGCAGGGAAAATGATTGGATGCATGTGTGTGTCTGTGTGTGTCTGTGTAAATCCTATTATCTCTGTGGAACGCTCACACATATGGTATCAACAGGTATGGGGCGCTGCCGGCTCCAGGGCTACCAGCTGTGAGTCCAGCTTCCCACTCTAGAAAATCCCGCAGTGCCCAGGGCTGCAAAACTCCTCACTCACTGGCAGAGTGGTGGCACCGGAGCCCTGGAAACTCAGTGGATGACAGAATTGCATGCGTGTGTGTGCGTGTGTGCGCGCGCGCGTATGTGTGTATGTGTGTGTGTGTGTGTGTGAAACACAGGCTGGAGGCTTAGATAATTAGACTCAGGCTTTCTGTCTGCATAGTCTCTGCTGGCTTTGCAGGACGCCTGCTATACCGGCCCCCACCAGCAATCATTGTTTCCTCCACAGAAAGACCCCCATCAATTTTCAAGTTTCCCGCTGAGTTCTATGCCTGAGATGGTTAAGATCAGAAGTTTGGGCCCTCCCTGTGGCTTGGGGAGTTGCAAACAGGCCGACTGCGATGAGTTTCAAGGTCTCCTTGCTGCATCCTTGCTGAGAAGCCTGGCCATCAGCTTTGTTGGTGACTTCAGAGCAGTGATGTCATTTAACACTAGAAATTCGATGTCACTAGCTGCATCCCGGAGAAGGGACATTTAATTATTTAATTTCATTTAAGGCATGAATTTCATCTGCCCCTCTGATACTTTTCTTGGTTATAACCCAACCTGAAATGCTTCTCTAAAGGACCAAGAAGATTGTTCCATATATTTCATTTTACCATTTGCTTTTTGTTTTCCATATTATTTTTCTGCAGTAGTCTCATGCTTTCTCATCACCCAGTGCCCAGCATTAATTTAATGAAGCAAAATATGAAATGTCCTTAAATGCAGATCAGACCATCTAGAAAATCCTTTTGTTTGTTATGATCCAAATATTTTTTTAGGATTGTGCCTACTCTGTTATTATTATTTTTTTTTTTAAGAAAGAAAAAGAAAGAAATGAAGAAAGGAAGGGAAACAAACAGCTGGTGTTTAACGACTCCATCAGACCCAATTATAAAACATCAACTAGTTACTTTGATTTGTGTAACTCCATGCCATGGGTATACTTAAAAACATTACGCTTTGCCAGCACTCTTTTGGCTTTGTTTACATTTATCTTTTAAATGTATAAGACTATTGATGGCACCTTACCAAGGTTATAACCCCCCTATAATCATTAATTTTTAATCTGGAAAAGAGTGGTATAGGCCGCGTGTCTCGTCTGTATTTACTTTGTGAGCTCAAATGAAAATATACAGGACTCAAGCATTGGCTAAAGTAATCCAGGAAAGCCCCACCAAAGGTTAGCAGTGTGATACCATTGTGTTTCCAAAAGCAGCAGCCCCTTCTTTAAGATGCCTTCCCATTTAATTGAGTTATCCTTGAACTTCCGCTGAAGGTTTTGATAAATACAAGTGCAGGGTGTGGGGGGCTCGGCACGTTAAAGCTGTTGTTTGTGTGAGTGTGGGCTTAGACTAGGTTCATGTTTGCACCCAATTGGGCCCAGTTAAGTCACCTTTGTCCGTTTGGAAAGGCATAGTTTTGGTCAAAGCATGGTTCCATTTTCACCAGACTCTACATTGTTTCTTGAGACTCGTGATAAAATTAAAAGGCTACGTGAGAAGTCAGAGCTTTGTTGCTTCATGTCCTATTTCCTGCCTTTCAGATTTACAGATATTAATGATACTTCAGGAAACCTTGACTTTGGCTGCCTGTCTCCGTCGCAAAATGACTACTGGGCCATGCTGGCCTACAATAGGTCCAAGCTCTGCAACATCCTGTTCTCCAACGAGCTGCACCGCCGCCTCTCCCCACGCGGGGTCACGTCCAACGCCGTGCATCCGGGGAACATGATGTATTCCTCCATTCACCGCAGCTGGTGGGTGTGGACGCTGCTGTTCACCTTGGCGAGGCCTTTCACCAAGTCCATGGTAAGTGGACGGCTTACCTGCCGCACACCTCTCACGCATGGCTGTGTGTCTCTGGCCTTGTCACCAGGAGTCTCGTCTCGTCGACCACATCATAGGTCCATGCAGGCCTTGAGCACAATTGCAGCAGCAATAGGTTGAGTCGGTTTCTCTAAGGAAGTCTTTGAAGGGCTGGATGGGAAACATGGTTTTTAAAAAAATGTCATGATGGCTGAAGGTTTTGATGAAAATGATGATTTGTTTACTTTTGATGTGATTTCTGTTTTTATTGAGGAAAGTTTAAAATCTATTGCTGTGACTGCATCACTGGGGAGCTCTGTGTTAATAGGTGGAAAATACAGATGTGTAGCTTGAATAGTTAACAGGTGTGTTTTTGTGTATGTTCACGGAGAATCTGTAGCAGATGTTTTGATCCTTCTTTTAGTGGAGAATTTGTTGTAACATCTTCTGTAGGAGACTTTGTGGCTGCAGGGGGCTTTATTCTTTATGTTCCCGAAGATATTAATCTTTTTAGAGGAACTACTCTAATGTGATTAAATTTGGAAGGTTCACGGAGATGAATATGCGGTTTTTACATTGTTGGTGGTTTATCAATGGTGTTTATCATTGGTGTCTACAAACTTCTGTGAAAGTATTGTTTTAGGAAGAAATTTGAAAGCAGAATATACATTTCACACAATCTGTCTAGTGGTCTATTTTCCTAAACCATAGACCTTTGCACACGTTTTTTTCTTAATGAACACCAGTATTCCACTCCCTGAAACATAACATCTACACAACAGAAGTTTGGCTTTTAGAAGTAGAACAAGCCAGGCCTTAATCTTCCAACTGGCCTCATAGTTGGCCTTCTTCTCCTATAGTTGTTACCACTCACTGCCTCTCTTCTTTCTGTTTGCGGGTGGCTTTTTAAGTTATAACACAAAGCTTTTGGACTCTTAGAAGAAAATACAGCTGCACATCTTTTATTCTAATCTCGCAAGTAGTAGTTATACAAAGTAAGTGTGTTCCAGAATTGAATACTTAGGATCAGGAAGGGAGAAGTGAGCAGCTAAGGAGATTGTTCTCCACCTCTTGGGTTCAGATGGTATCTGAAAATAGATGAGTGAAAACCACCTCTGTGATCCCTTGGTTTGGAAATTTCCCCACTGCTTCATTTTCATGACCAAGTAAGGGTAGGATCACTCAACACAACTTTCTGTGGGATGATAATTCCACCTGTTAGGAGGGTCTGTCTCAATTTGGGCCAGTCACTTTGGGTTTCAGAGCTGGGCTTCTTACAACCAGAGTGTTGATATAGGATGTTATGATGATTGACAGTGATGGATAAAATGTCTATAATAGTGGACATAGAATTTCTGCTGTGTTTGTAAATCTGGTCACTTGTGTGGTAGCCACTGGCCTCATGTCGCTGTTGAATCTTTGAAAAACAGTTAACACAACTGAGGAACTGAAAATTTTAACTGGCTTTCCTTTGAACTGGTTTTAATGGAAGTAGCCACACAGACCTAGTGGCTGCCATAGCGGAGAGCACAGTTAAATTAGTGTCTGCCAAAGTGCCTATCGTGTAATAAGTGTGCAGTTACTTGCCAAGATGGCCACAGCTGCTGTTGTAATACCTGGGTCCTGAAGAGTCTTTTCCAAAGTGCGGTTATTGCTGACGGATACAGCAAGCATCGTGGGGCTTAAAGGAGTCTATAAATCACGACCCTAGAGGGGGTCGTGGGGGGAGGAATAGGGCTCTGTGTCTGGTCCGAAAGGCCTAAGGAGATTACTGGCAATGTCAGAAAGGTGTCGGTAGAGAAACCCTGATTGTATGGCATCCAACCTGCACATCTGGTCTCCAAGGAAGTCATAGAACTTCCCACGTTTCTATCCCCACATAATTGGGACCATGGCACCTCTTTTATTCCACAAGTGTTTTTTTTTAGATTAGCAGAAGAATTAGGAAGGTGGTGGACTATGTATCTGAGTTCAGATCCTTATTAAGATCCTCACTAATAATATATTTACACATGTAGCTTCTTGTTAAGTTTAGTCATTGAGGTTCCATGCTGCTCAGTGTATAAAGAGGTGTGATGAGGTTTTGGACTTGTCAAACTCATAGTTCGTGAGTTTTTCATGCACGCCTCGGCAAAGACGTGAGTGTAAATCTGGGCTTGGAAAACGGAGGCTGACCAGAAAGGTCACCCTCATGTGTTGTTCTGATAGGTGGCTTGGCTCTCCTACAATTGTGGCAAGGCGACTATTCCTTGGATGGTAATTGTTCTTCTGCCATGTCCCTGAAAACATGTTGCTGGACATAAACCGCGTGGCTGCATCCCCATTCCTACTCCATGTTAGCTGGATCCCTAAGCATGAAGAAGCTCAGCATGGGTATAATGCCCCATTACCAGGAGGCCAGTGCTTGCTTCATGCTGCCTTGCAGCTCTGGCTACATTTCACCTTAGAGAAAGGGTCTTCCTTGGACATGAGTGCTCCTGTCGTGTACTTTCTATTGAGAGAGGTCAAGGGAAGAAGAAGCCTAGCCTAGCCTGTGCCCAGGAGTCCCATCTTCCCTTCTCCTCTGCGGCCAGCTCCCTGAAGCATTAAACAGCAGTATTCTAATATCAGCGTCCCTTTTTTATTTGCTGTGACTTGCTGTGACTACTGTGATTTTAGTTACAGTAATTAGGTCACCCTTCATGGAGTCAGGCTATTTTAAGTGCCTCTTTAAGGAATATTGTTGCAGATCAGTAATTTTACAATTGGATGTTCTTGTGCAACTTTATTAAATGTAATCTGTCTTTTAAATGTTGCCCTTTTATAGTTATACATTTCTAATTGTTGCTGTAAATGCATTATCACTTTGAAATTAATTAATTTTTCCATTTTGGGCGCCTGCAGTATAATAATCACTAATGAGGAACTCGCAGAGATTCATTCTCAGTACAGCGACCCCTTCTGACAAAGCCACAACTCTGTCACCTTCTTTGTAAGATCCAGAGATTAGAACAGGTGTCCTGGGGGCTCTGGGGTGAATAAATGCTTATTCCCTCTCCCTCCAACTTATAGTAAAATAAAAACAATGGGCAAAAAAGGAAATAGCATTCTTTTTAAATGTGGTTCTAAAAAAAAAGACACAGGAGTCTTCTAAAGCAGCGCTCCTGAAACATCATAAAAGAAATTAAAGTTCACCAGCAGCTTTCTCTAATGAAGTCACTTCCTAAGTGCATTTTGTCTCCTTTACTGTCTCTCTAGCTCCTTTATACAACTAAAATGCTCAAAAATTATATTTTACCTGAGTACATGTTGATGTGTATCATACATTAGTTTCTGCAGTTTATTTATACCTGCATATTACCTCACAGTGCTTAATTCACAAAGCCTGACATGCAGTGTGCCCTGGTGACCTAAAAGACTTTCAGGGGGAATCCTGACTGCCTCACCTGTTGCATGGGTGATGATTTTGGAATCCTACCTTGCTCCCATCCCCGATGCAAATTGGCAGTGTAAGCCAGGTATCGCCATATTTCATCTATCAGCATCCGTATTCCCTCTTATCCCTCCTAACAGTCCCGCAGTACTAGATGATTATTGTTCCTTTTTCCAGTTGGAAAGCAGTGAGAGCTTACCCAGCTTGTTCAAGAAAGTGGAATGCCGGCTACTCCCAGGTCCATTTACCGTGTCAAATGCACCGTAGTGGCCCTGCCATATGTGTCTAATTGTGCCGTTCAGTTTCCTTAACATGTCTGACAGCACCTTCATGAAGTCCACCCTCTCCACTTTTTCCACATAAACTTGGAGTGCTGGTAAACAACACCTTCGCCAGAGGCCCTCGGTCCAGGCCAGTGCCGTGTGCGAATCGGCATGTAAATTTGGTGCCGAGCCACCGTCACGTGCCTCTTAGGGTGTTTTGTGCAACCAAATATTTTTGTTGGCAGGTAACAGTAGAAAGCATATCGTGTGTTAGGGCAGCGAGAGCTTAGCAGATGTTTTAGGGAACTGCATTTTCAAATCATTTTACATTAAAAAATAGGCTGGAGTTTGTAGAACTTCTGAAATGATTGGGTTTCGTTTCCTGTGGATGTAAAGCCAGCCCTTGTGCTGAGTTTTAACAGATGTGCAGTTACCCTGCTAATGGATGGGCCTGCATTGCTAATTCTGTGGCACAGTTATAAATTTCAAGTAGAAAAAGCACGAGATGTCATTCTTGTAACCTTCGGGAAAGCCGAGCTGCGTAGTTCTGCCCTTGAATAACCTGCGGCGGGGTGATTTATAGTTGCACAATTTAAAAGGTAATGAATGAGATAATACATGTTGATTTGTTCCGTAAATTAGTATTTTAGAAACACTTCTCCCCCTTAGCCACTTTAATACCTGCTGCTGACTACACTGGATCCCATCAAGGACAGAGCCTCTGTTCGAAACTTTAGTGGTCCATGGGCGTGTGGGTTCCCCAGGCAGGGAACGGAGCCTTTTCTAATGCTGGGAAAAGGAAATACGATTTGCAAAGTGGACATTTCAGCATGTTCTTCACTAGTTCGAAATTCTGAGACTCCCGAGTGAGGGTAGAGTTTTCTGGCTGCCTGGCTCTTGCCGGTCCAGGTTTATTAGCCAAGTGGAGTCTCGGGACCGTTCCGTGGCTGGGCCAGATGCGAGGTGTCCGGCAGCGGCCCCTGCAGCGGATATGGTACAATGCAAAACAGCAAAGGACTTGGAGATTGACACCTGCATCCAAAACTCAGTTTCCCATTTGCTTTTTAATTGCATAATTTTTTAAGTGACTTCAGAGGTTTATTTTCTGTATCAGTTCATATACTTTCATCATGAATTATTACCACCCGGTGAAGTTTGAAGGCCTCATTAATAGGGGGGCCCTCCTTGCTTGCTTCTCTCCATAGAACCTTCCTCCTGGGGATTTTTTTCTCAGCTCCTATTGCCAGAATTGAGCCATTTGTGCCTATCCCAGGTGCAGAGAAGTTTGGGAAAGGAGGTGACTGGCATCCTGTGCCTCTAGCATGGGA